CAAGAATGAAACAAATGAATTGTATACAAACGAATGACAACAAAAACATTCGAATGAAAAGACTAGTGAATTTGGGTGTCATCAGTTAATTTGTTATCAACTAATTACAGTCGCGAAATAATCAGCTAAAACACAAATAAACAATCTGGTAATTTTGGTACAAAAACACTCGATCCGAGTGTGCAATGGAAGTTCCCCTTTGATGATAAACTCGGTGAACGAACAACGCACACCAACCATTGAATTTACAGCAACGAAATAATTGAACCTGATTTGGAGCATTCTCCTTTGATTATATATTATAAGATGTTCGAATGCATGTGTATTATTGCTCATATGGCAATCTTCTTCGTAGTTTTATTATAAATATGTTGTTATATCATCGATAAAACGTTTGATGCCATCTCTCGAATTAAATAAACCGGTTCTACTTGATTTCTGCTGCTTATAAGAAATTATTCATTCGCTGCAAGAATTGCTGAGAGTTTCAAGAGATGCGTTAGTAGTGATTGTTCGAGGAGATGATACGATGATCAGAGAAGGTATCATCAATGTGGTGAAAGTCAGTCAGTGATACGAACACCACGTTTTTCGTGTTTGCATTTATCGCTCATCAATTAGCTTCATGTATTATTTTCCTATTAGTTTTCATTCAGCACAATAAGCATTACCTGCGATTTTATCAATCAATCAATGCCATTTCACGATCAGCTTATTGCCATGTTTTCACTACTCTCTAAAGAAGGGAATTTATATCAATCAGGAAATTACGAAAAAAACAGCATTCATCAGACAGCTGTCAAAAAGAATTTGAGATCAACAAGTGATCGATACCAAAGAACAAATGGGCATCCGATTGTGGTGTTTTTCACAGAAAAACGGCAGTTGATCAGTTAAAAACAAAATTTAGCAGCAATAAATAATCCGAGATTTTGACACATTTCAGAGGGGCTCAACCACAATGAAAATATTTATTTCTATTAGATTTATTCTACTTGATATCATTTTTCAATGCTCTGTTCAAATGAGATTGTAAAGCATGGAACAGTACTGAGCTGACGACATCACGCAGTTCTGAAAATGAGAATGTAATCTGACTGAAGTTACTGAAGTCAAGTAATTTTGCAGTATTGGAAGGACGATTTCTTACAGTGGAATCCAAACGTTTACGAAGGCGCAACAGAAATATTTCTATCGTCGGGCGATGTATGGATACCGGAATTCTCGCTTTACTACAGGTATGCACAGTGCAGCCAGCAATCGATCTTCACTAATTTGTCTAACTTCATTTTGATCCAATAACGAATCGTTGTTCGTTTGTTTACATTCAAATCCGAACTGAACCTCTGCTTGAGTTCAAAGGTAATAAATAAGTTGCAGTCATCACTAC